TCTTGAGATGGTAGGAAGAGTCATTGAATAAGAAAATCGAACATACATATTTGTATTAACCTTAATTAATGGCATGCTTTGGATTTTTTTTTTAAATTTCGTTCCCGAATCAAACTTCCAAATATCGAGCAATTTTTAATAAAAAATTTTAGGTAAATCTATATATATATCGTGTCGTGTTACTGACTGGCTGATTCATCATCGCACAGACCAAACGGCTGAACATAGAGTCATGAAATTTTAACAGTGGATGTGTGTTTGGTTATGTAGATCCACTAAGGAGGGATTTTTGGAAATGGTTTTCTTACTTATCTTACATAATATTAGTGATACAAAAAATGCACCTGTATCTACTCTTAAAATGAGCAGATGGGTGTCTGGTAATTTTTTGAAATTCGTACTCTTAAGTGGTAAAAATGAGTAACAAAGGTGATTTTGGTACCTTTTCTGGTACTTTATAACTTTTTAACTAATAAACATAATCAAAATTTTTTAAATGTTTTGGACATATCTTAAAATTATGAGACAGCTATTTCGTACTTTTTTTAAAATGCAGTCCTTTTTGGGTGTAAAATAGAGAAAACTGTATTTTTGGTACTTTTTTAGCACATTAAAAAAACTTTTTCGATTTATTGACGTATACCTATTAAATTACGGACTAACTCTGTAATATTTATGAAAACAAAATAGTTTCTATTTCATTGGGAAGAAAAAAGTACCAAAAAGGGGAATACGGGAAATATAATTTTATTCAAACTCATTGAACCAATTTTTATAAAATTTGAAAAAATATTTAATTTACTCACACAAAATAAACTATTGGTATATTATTTTGAAATTCGGGGGAAAAGAGTAAATTTAAACTTTATCGTGCTTCAAATGGTACTATAATATTGAACATGCAGAATTCTGACTGAATAAGAATCCGCACAAGAATCAAACGTTTTAAAGTTTCTACAGTGGGTATCTGAAGCAAATGACACACGGTTCTTATAAAATGAGAATTTATAAAAGGGAGATTTTTGGTACTTAGTACTTAACTATAAAACATGCAGAATTCTGACTGAATAAGAATCCGCACAAGAATCAAACGTTTTAAAGTTTCTACAGTGGGTATCTGAAACAAATGACACACGGTTCTTATAAAATGAGAATTTATAAAAGGGAGATTTTTGGTACTTAGTACTTAACTATAAAAGTAATAAAAATTTTATACTTAATTTTCATTGGGTAGCGAGGCACCCAGGTTACACTAGTACTATATATTTAGTGACCTTATATTTACATTTAATTTTAGCGCTTTTTAGCGCGTTTTGAGTAAAGAGACAGCGCGTTTTGGTATAAAATAGTTGACAACGCTGATGATAAACATTTTGTAATGCAACAAAGTGGATTTTGTGGAGAACCTATGTATCATTCTATCTGGTAAAAATGTCTTTTTATTAAAAATCTGTGCCATAATGTCATTAAAATTTAATGATTAAATCTATCGTGAAGTTTGTTTTTTCTCACATTCTACTGAGTAATTGGCGCATTTTTTATTAGCCGTTGTTTATAGTTTGCCAGATGAACAAACAATAAATAAGAAAGTTATACATTAAAAGGAAATATTTTTTAAAGTTTTTAATACACTTAATTGCATAAAAACACACTTTGAAAAAAACCGGCTATTTGAGGAGAAAAACCCGGTTTCATCGATATTCAAAATGTGAGCTTTTCAGAAAAACCGAAACCTACTTGATCAGAAAAACCGGTTATAACCGGTTATTAAAAACCGAGCATCTCTCATATGTAAAAATTGTATATGTGGAAAACTTTGTAGTAAGAATCTTCCAAATCGTTAAGTGGGTTTTTTATTCATATTGCTTTTAGGGTAGCAAAGCACACTGGGTATAGCTAGTATTTTATAATTTGTTGGAATGATAATTTTCTCTAGAAGATAATATTTGGTTGAAATGTTATGAATTAAAAAAGACCTTTTATTTACCAAAGTTTACACTTTGGCAAAATTTATACACCAGTTAGTTTTAGACACTAATGAACAAAATATGATATCGAGATTCCGGGATTTCTAAAATTCAATCCCAATTCGCATCCATACTTGCCACCAATGTCATCACCAGAGTTGCCAACACTTGGAGACCAAAAAAAATATATATATAAAAATATATAAAAACAATGAAAAAACATAAAAAAGTAATATATTTGGTAGCAATTTTATAACAATCACAGAATCTTAGTAGATTGTAAAAACATATTTTACAAAAACTACTGAATAAATAAGCAAAGCCGATGCATTATGTCTGAATTATTGTGATATATTTATAAGGGAAGACAGACATATAGTGTTTATAAAAAACCGACTTTTGGAAAACCCGATTTTTCGGTTAAACGAAAATTGACCATTTCTAGAAAACCGGTTTGTCGGTTAACCGAGTCTAAATTATGTATTTAGTTGAAAAATGTAATTTTGCGAAATATTATGAATCACTTAATAAGATATTTGCACTTTTTAGTATAGATATGTACGTTAATATATCGTAAGAAAACAAACTTATACAGATCTGAAGATATTATTGATTCGTTAGGTATATGGAAGTTGCCATAGGAGGGATAAATTGACCTTTGAATATATAATGCATCTATATCAATAAAAAATTTTATGTCCAGGACTATCAAGTATAAATAGTGTTCAGGCTCGCGACGATTCATCGGGAATGGAAGTAGACGACGACTGTCTCGACATAGACATTGTGTCCCTGCTTTAATTGTGACCTCCCTCCGCTCGCTACGCTTGTGATTGTTCAAATTACTGTGAATGACGCTTAGCTACATTGACAGGTGTCATTCTGACTTCCTGTCAATCAACCTAAGCGCCATTACAGTTTGCGAAAAACCCCAGCAGCATAAATTCTCGGACAGCGACAACAACCCTTACGTTTTGATAACGTTTGAGAAACTTCTCGATTTTTATTATACTCACGCAGTATTTTATCATCAAAGTTATTTATTTAGTCTTAATAAATAACAAATTTCTTCATAAAATGGTTGAAATTTGTTTAAATAGTTAATTTTTTATTGGTTTAAATGCCAACTTTTTACTAATTTCCTGATTGTCTGAAATTGTAAATTTTATGTCCTAACATTTGTTTAACAATCTTAGGTCTGTTTTCATATGCACAAACGGAAAATAATGTTTAGAATTATCTATCCAAAATTTCCAAATCAAAGAAAACATAAAATTTTGTACTAAAAATTTGATTTTTTGAAACGGGTTAACCGAGACTTAAAAACCGGATAACCCGGTTAACCGAAAACCAATGTTTTAAAATTATATTAGCTTTGTCAATTATTCTTGTTTAAAATTATTCCAATAAAAACTTATAATAATTTTTTCATTCGAGTAACCAATTAAATTTTAAAAATATAAATAAAACTTAAGATACTGGTTTTCGTACATTAATGCACTTATAACTTACGGCCATACCTATAAATTTTGTGAAAATTTGCAAATGCATGATTTTTGTGGGTATCGATGGACTCATATTTACACGTTTCAGACTAAATTAAGAATTTTGGCATTGAATTCAGGATTTGTCAGAGCATATTTTACCCATAAGAGCATAATTTTGAATGATTTGGCTTTTGTAACAAATTTATATGTAATATATTTTACTCTTTTAGTGCATATTTTGATGTGTTGTGCTTTATTTTTAATATTTTTAAAAACATTTTTTGTTCAAAACTTTATTTGAAATAATGGATCGACCTTAAGCATTTTCAATAGGCTTCGTCCCTTTGAACAATGGAAGATAAAGTTCCAAATTCCATTGAATTATCTTTAAAATTGCGACCTGTAGTTTGATTAAAAAGTTTACTTGGACGGACACACAGACGGACATAGCTAAATCGACTCAGATAATTCTAAGCCTATTGGTACACTTTAAGGTGGGTGTAAGTCCAATATTATAGTGCGTTACAAACATAAGCACAAATCCAATGTACCCTCCCCACTAAAGTGGTGTAGGGTATAAATACAAATATGAATGTCAAATAATAAAAAGATATTTTAAAATACAATTTAAAGAAAAGAATTGTAAGTAATTTCAAGATTGAGGTTTCGAATATTTTGATTTTCTTTGTATTCAACGGATACTTAAATTAGAATTTGAAATAAATAATAATATAAAAAATAGGAGTCCAGTGACTAGAGTACATTTTTCTAAAAGAACTGTTATATATTTTTTTATTTTTCTAATTATTTAACAAATTTTATTTGTAAAATTAATACGAAATTGTTTGATAACATTTTGTTTTAAGTTAAATTTTATCAATTTTATGATTATATTCGAATTAAAATAATAAGAGAAGAATACTTTCAATTTGGGGCTGAAATTTTATGGACTTGGTCAAATGTCTATGAGAATTAAGTAAACTTTTGTCAAAAAAATTAAAAATATGCTGGAATAGGCTAGGATTACCTAGTTTCCTTAAGTTGCACAAAAGTGTCCTACTTTTTTCCTAATTTCTTTACTTTAAAGAAATAATGTAAATCATACGACTAAATCTAAAGTTATAGTCTTTTAAAATGTTAAAAATCTATTCGGGTCACATTTTATAAGTAAAATTACACAAAAATTTAATTTTTGCATTTTGTAAAGGACATTTTTATTGACAATGAAAAATCAGTTAACCGGTTCTTTCTCAATTTGGAAAATAACAAACGGTTTTTTCAAATGTCAACTATTCGAAAACCGATTTTGGAAAATGTCGAATAATCGATCACCCTAGTTAACACTCAATGATAGCAATAAAACACAAATATTGTTGTGCGTTACAAACATCAGCACAAACCCAATATACCCTCCCCAAATATACGAAATACGTACGTACAAAATAAATCAAATTGCTGAAAAAGCTAAATTGAAATCTAAATCTGGGCCACGTTTATCATAATGTTAATGTTTTTGAAAAGCACAAATATAATATTATGTACTTACCTTTTTCCAGTTGCATGGTATGTAAAACAGCCAATACAATATAGCTAACCCAATAATCATACCACAAACTTTGTACATATTTGTAAACAAATCACCATCTCCAATTAAATGCTCCATCTTGTCAAATACATAAACTTGATCAAATGAGTTCAATACTAAAGATTTATTTATTTTCAAAAAATCCATCCTAAAAAAGAAAGAAAAATATAAATCAATAATTATTTATAAGAATACGTGTATTAAAAATAAAATATGGAATATTGCTTCATAAAAACAATTAAGAAAGTCCGACTATGTGATAACATAAATATATACGTATGTACTTCTAATATATGTACTACCAACTTTTCTGAAGTGGATCTTATGTGGGAGTCTCGAGTAAGTTAAATTAAAAAAAATAAGACGCGAATTACAATAATGACATAAAATAAAATTATGTATAAACAAATATTTATTATGGTCATACTTTAAACATAACGATTGGTTTTTAACTATTATCGAAACACAATTAAACACGTATAAATTTAATTGGAGAAAAAAGATCCCATATAAGAAAGCTCACATATAAAGTCCACTTCCGAAAATCCTGTACAAATTACAGTCCTATGAAACTCAATACTAATAAGTTCCATGTTTTTTGTACACTGTTCATAATTGGTTGTGACATATCGGTCACGTGCGTAAAATATTTTAATTTATCTTTTAGGTTTGCACATAGACGGCGCGACCGACTACTTTTTATTAATCCTTCTTCAAAAAATTACATATTCCAATGATAGAAATATTTTGTTTTTCACTTTACGAGATCTGACAACATTTCCTTGTAAAGTTGACAGATTTACTTTAAACATTTTTATATTGGTTGTCTCAATTTATATGTTTTTAAACTATTTGTTTCATAAAAAATCTCTAATTTACATATATATGTATGTTCACATACGTATTTTTTATTTGCCTCAGGTATACAAATGTGTATTAAGGTAGTTTATAAAATAATCTGAAAGTTTGTGTGAAAAAACGAAAATTAATGAATTACCTGAGAATGTAGGGTGAAGTTTATTACGACGCACTTTGGGGTGCTTTTTTTGGAGATAAAAATTACATTAAATAAACTAATTAAAAATAGACAGAATTTTACACAACCAGTCAAAAAACTAATTACCAAATGGAGCCTATGCGACTATTTTTGATGAACTAAAACTCATTAATAAGTTTCGCCCGTAAAAAATGAATAGTAAACACATTCCACTTATGCTTAAAGTGTGATTTATTTAAATATCAATAGCAAAATCATGAACTAAGTGTATTCAATAGTCTCTAACTAAAATAACACATGTTTTCAGGAGAGCAAAAAAAAAACTGTTTATTTAGCTAGTTCGTGTAGATTTTTGAATTTTTTCTTCTACAATATATTTTTAAGACCATATTCTACATCGTTATATAAAAAGAATTTAAAATTTTGCATTATTTGCAGAATTATTCACAAATTTATATCAGATTTTTCTACGAAAAATTTTTTTACAACCTTCAAATAAAGAGTTTTTCATAAAAATATAAATTTTTTATTTGATTTAATATCAGTAAATATTATATTTTATGCAATTTAATGAAGTAATATGTATAAACCAAATTATTGAAAAAGCAACAGATTATAAGGTTTTGGTCCAAAATCAATGTTATATGGATAAACACAGCAATAAAATTAATCAAATTAGTATCATCATGAGCGATATCTCGAAAACTATTAAATCGATTTCAAATATTTGTGTTCAGCATGTCCAAATTAGTGAAAATACTTGTTTTGCAACAGAAAATTATCCAAAAGCAATTTTTGGATAAGATAGAGAGTTTTGCATTCAGAATTTTTCTGTATTTAAGATAGAGAAATTTAAAAATTGCAATAAAATTGCCAAAACATATTTTTTCTTTTGAAATTTATGTCACTGATGCGGGATAGTTTGCTGGATATTTTGCCATCAAAATCTTATTTATATGAATATAATGGTAGTTCATAAATAATGGTAGTAATTTTTGTTGATATTCTTATAACACCCTTATTTCTGAACGATTTGTTGACAAAGATTTTCTGTAAGAGGTGTTAATATACCGATACATTACTTTTCGCTTATAGTCATATATATATATATATATATATATATATATATATATATATATATATATATATATATATATATATATATATATATAAGTTTCTTGATCTAAACAAAAATTACGCAAAATATATACTGCGTTTAAAATTTCTTTAAACTTCTTCAACAAAAATTTCTTCATTTGGATCGTTACTAGTTAACATTTTTTTGTCGACTTTAAAAACAAATTTTTTAGACATAAATTTTGTGTGTAACAATATCGTGAAGTTTTTTCATATAACATGATATTTAATAGCCACGGGTAGATGGTATATACACTGGTTTCCCGGTTTAACGAATACTCAGTTTAGCGAATTCGCGATTTAACGAACGGCCAAATTGTTTCCATTGAGTACCTTATATTACGAATGAATAAGTTTTGTACTCGATATAACGAATTTCTAAAAAATTTTCTATAAAAAACTTCTTTATTAACCAAAAGCAATAACATATTAAGATTTTATGTATGTTCAATACCCAATTCAATGGGTACAAAATCTACAAATACAAAAATCCGGGAATAGGAATGAAAATAACATTTAAAAAATTATTTTCGGAAATATAAATAAAATTTATTAAATACATTTTAATATAAAATTCTTTATTTAAGAGAATATTATGATTATTTTACTAATAAAGTGAGAAATGGAATTGCAAATTACCATAAAATACTTAGAATTTCACATCGATTAAAATGGGCATCAAATCCCTATTTTTTTATAAGAGAAGAATTCATTTTCGAAATGAAACAACTTTAACATCATTAAACAAAAAATATTTTTTTTACCTAATTGTAATAAAATTTTTCATAAAATCTTTAATTTTGGTTTGATTGCAAATTCAACAAAAAACTAATTTCTATCTTTTGCACACTGCATAAAAATGCATGGAAATTGTCAAAAACTTTATGGGTGCATTCAAAAAGATTTAAAAAATAGACTTCATACCTTCCATTACCGTATTTTTATCATTAAATCATAGAAAAGTTGTTATTCGGTTTAACGAATTTTTCGGTTTTACGAATGGGCCTGACATTATATCTTTCGTTAAACCGGGAAACCACTGTATGTGAAAAGTGCTTATATCAAAAATGGACTATAAAGCGATCTTTTTATATGAAATTTATCGACAGAGAGATTTAAATCTAATAAAATTGACAATATAACTAATGTGACTATAACAGTGATGAATATAAACGAAAACTACTGCACTTCTAAAATTCTGTACAGATTTTTAAATTCAGTCTGAAGGCAACCTGAGAGTGTCTAATGTGATCCGATTTTGTCCATTTATGCACAATCGTATTTTCAACAGAAAGACGGAGAGACTAATTAGGATTTAATAATATGGGTATGTACATTAGGTTTATGACTTTTTGCAATTTTTGCAAATATCAAAAATACCATAGCAAGACCTTGTAGGACGTGAACAGATGTTAATGAATGTGATATTATTTTTTCGCGATCGTAAAAAAAGTTCCCGCACCAAAGGCGATGATGTTTTGTATAAATATTACTTTTTCTATATGAGAAAAATAAATATTTTTGCCAACATTTTTGAATTACACTATCTTAAAGAGAACATTCTTCTTTAAACCCCTGTTTAATGAAATTTCTAACAAATCGCGATAACATTGCAAGTTATAGATAATAGTATACGTTTATATGAAAATTATTAAAATAATTTTAGTAAAAATAACGAACAAAAGCATTTTAGAAATTGCGTTCGATGCGGGAAGTTTTTTCACCGAATTTACTTAACTTTAATAGCCTTTTATTATCAGGACAGTATTGGCAGTGCTGTGGTATTTTGCCTTCCAAAAAAGTAATAACTCTAATGTATATATATGTATAACCAATGATAACATCAATATAATGACCATGGTCGGAATATAAATCTAATAAACCTATTCAAAACATATATTTTATTTTAATTAGTCATTTTATACAAAAACTCCCTTTATTAAAATGGGATGCCAATTAAAATGGGCATCAAATCCCTATTTTTTTATAAGAGAAGAATTCATTTTCGAAATGAAACAACTTTAACATCATTAAACAAAAAATATTTTTTTTACCTAATTGTAATAAAATTTTTCATAAAATCTTTAATTTTGGTTTGATTGCAAATTCAACAAAAAACTAATTTCTATCTTTTGCACACTGCATAAAAATGCATGGAAATTGTCAAAAACTTTATGGGTGCATTCAAAAAGATTTAAAAAATAGACTTCATACCTTCCATTACCGTATTTTTATCATTAAATCATAGAAAAGTTGTTATTCGGTTTAACGAATTTTTCGGTTTTACGAATGGGCCTGACATTATATCTTTCGTTAAACCGGGAAACCACTGTATGTGAAAAGTGCTTATATCAAAAATGGACTATAAAGCGATCTTTTTATATGAAATTTATCGACAGAGAGATTTAAATCTAATAAAATTGACAATATAACTAATGTGACTATAACAGTGATGAATATAAACGAAAACTACTGCACTTCTAAAATTCTGTACAGATTTTTAAATTCAGTCTGAAGGCAACCTGAGAGTGTCTAATGTGATCCGATTTTGTCCATTTATGCACAATCGTATTTTCAACAGAAAGACGGAGAGACTAATTAGGATTTAATAATATGGGTATGTACATTAGGTTTATGACTTTTTGCAATTTTTGCAAATATCAAAAATACCATAGCAAGACCTTGTAGGACGTGAACAGATGTTAATGAATGTGATATTATTTTTTCGCGATCGTAAAAAAAGTTCCCGCACCAAAGGCGATGATGTTTTGTATAAATATTACTTTTTCTATATGAGAAAAATAAATATTTTTGCCAACATTTTTGAATTACACTATCTTAAAGAGAACATTCTTCTTTAAACCCCTGTTTAATGAAATTTCTAACAAATCGCGATAACATTGCAAGTTATAGATAATAGTATACGTTTATATGAAAATTATTAAAATAATTTTAGTAAAAATAACGAACAAAAGCATTTTAGAAATTGCGTTCGATGCGGGAAGTTTTTTCAC